TGGCCAGATCTGATGAAGAAAAGAAATGGCTATGTATGCTGGTTTGAAAAGTGGCATCCTTCCTTGCGCACCAATATCCCTTGGTCCCTTGAAGGTTTTTGCTTGGAACTTATTCCTTCCATGGTTGAAGCTCTACAGCTGCTCTGTGCACGTGGTCCTCCAAGCTCCTTGCGCAGCTTTGTCCTCTAGTCAAGTGCTGGAGTTTTTGATATTTCTTATCCTAATTGTATGGGCCTTTCATGACAATAATTAAATAAATGGGCTACCCTTAAGTGTTGGGCCATCTTGATTGAGGCAATGGGCCATTCTTGGTTGGAGTAATGGACTATTCTCTCTCTTGTACTTACCCATATTTTTGGGCCTAAGAAATGGGCCTGAATTCCGAGGCTCCCAAGCGACCCGGAACTTCCATTTCTCGGTCCATCAATGGGTCTCATGACAACTTATTACCATCCATACCACAACCTACTCAAGCAAGCCCCGGGCATCTTGCGTGGCTTGGGCCCACTTAAGCTTGTAGCATGGCGTGTTGTTTATTTGCTTGGTGTGGCGTGTGTGCAAGCGCATATTACGAACTTTCGCATGCCCAAATTGGGTTTCTTCTCGGTAAGGTATTGCATTGGGTCGAGAATTTATTTGGGCCGAACCGTGACTTTTTTGGGCCTCAACACCTTCAAATTCAATTTGCCATACCTACAACCCTTCACTTTTTGTTCCTATAAATAATACCCAATTTGTATAAGTAAAAACCCATGACTAGGATCCAACTCGGCAAGTTACTTAATTAAGCATAAAATATGATTTATTGTACTTTTCAGATTCCAAAAATACCCCCAACTAAGCTATTATTGCATTTTGTATATTAACGTAGGAATCAATATGGAAACAGTTTTTAATTGGATTGTATATAATGATAGACGTTGAAATTGGAAAGATCTCCAAATGGTTGTAATGGATATATAAATTAATTTGGAAACATTTTTTTAAATTTAACAGTAAATACAGATTTAGGTAATCGGTTTGTTTAATAAAATGTTTATATTATTTTCTTTTTATGAATTATACATGACTAATAATCTACTTTATAATTGTTTATGAATAATACTGTACATAGTAATTATGTTGAAAAAATAATGTACCTATTACTTGTTCTATGAAAAATAACTAATAATCTTTTTATTATTTGTTTTATGAAAAATATAATTTACCTAGTATGAATAGTGTACCTATTTTTAATTTATAAGAAGTGTACATAATTATCTATTCCAATATACCTACATTATACGACATCCAATATACTTACATTAATTTTAATGTACTTACGATTAGGATTTAGGTATTATATGTCATCCAATATACCTACCATTTGAATTATATACCTACTATCTGTCCCAAATAGCCTCACACTTAGTAGCACCCTCTCCAGACATCACATGCCTCAAACGCATCATGAGACTTCTCGTCCGCCGAAACATCTTCGCCGTCCATCACCCGTCCGAAGGGGGAGAACCCGTCTATGGGTTGACCTACTCGTCTCGATGGCTGCTACATGACTCGGAGATGAGCCTAGCTCCAATGCTTGTGATGGAGAATCACCCCTCCCTAATGGCGCCATGGCACTATTTCAGCCAATGCGTCAAAGAAGGAGGGCCTTGGGCCTTCAAGAAGGCGCATGGGCTTGAGATTTGGGAGTTTGCCTCTGAAAATCCAGGGTTCAACAAATTGTTCAACGATGGCATGGCCTGCACGGCTAGGATTGCGATGAAGGCAATACTCACAGAATATGGACACGGGTTTGATGGGGTGGGGTCCTTGGTGGATGTAGGCGGTGGGACCGGAAGTGCAGTGGCTGATATTGTGCAGGCCTACCCTAACATCAAGGGTTTCAATTTTGATCTGCCACATGTTGTAGCCACAGCACCAGCGTACCATGGAGTGTCACATGTTGGAGGTGACATGTTTGAGGACCATATTCCAAATGCTGATGCTGTTTTCATGAAGGTATGTCATGAAAAAAAAAATGTATGAGAAAGGAGCTAGGGTTTATTGGCTTATTATAACTAACTTTTGATTGAGATTATGCAGTGGATTATGCACGATTGGAATGACTGTGATTGCATCAAGATTTTGAAGAACTGTCGAAAAGCAATACCAGAGAGAGGTGGGAAGATCATGATCGTTGATATAGTTCTAGAGCCAAGTGGTGATGGGGTGCTGGACGACACACGATTGGTGTTTGATCTAGTGATGATTGCACACGCGTCAGGTGGAAAGGAGAGGACTGAGAATGAATGGGAGAAGATATTGAAAGAAGGAGGTTTCCCTCGCTACAAAATCATCAAAATTCCAGCTCTGTTATCCATTATTGAGGCCTACCCTGTGTGATTTAAAATTTTTAAATCACAGTGTGAAGTGTTGTAGATACTAATAATATGGCACTGGCAGCTTATATTTGTGACGTGATCTTATCCAACCTTGTTTTCCAGTTATAATGTCAATGATTCGTTTCAATTATAATGTCACCGGATGAATATTTCTGGCATTTTCTTTTTTCAAATCGGGACTGTATTTTATAAACAACAACAAAAACTAATAGAATTTTATTTTATTTTTTTTGTCTGGGAAAGCGATAATATTTTATTGATAGTGAGAAAGTAACAAGTAAAAAAAAAACGACTGATCCCTAGAGGATTAGGCAAGCCTCTAGAGGTTCGGTCATTGGTCCAACCAAGTAGCCTACTCTCCTTCGACATAGCCATCGAAAAGAACCTTTCTCTTGATAGAGCACCCCCAGTCCCCCAGGGTCTCAATCGCAAAAGCCCACTAGTTACAATCCTTAAACAAAAAATATCAATAATGATTAATGAAATCTATCTGGAGGGTCCTCAAATCAGATGGAAAGGCCTCCGCAATGAACCACACATTTTGCAAGATGATGAGCCATGCCATTCACAGTACGACGAATATGGGTAAATCCATCTCCAGTTTCCTAAGAAAGGAAAATTTTGGTATCCTCCACAACTAAACCAATGACAAAACGATCCAATAATGGAGAGCCTAATCGATGTGACGATCTGAAGAATATCACTCCAAAAAATAACATTAGTCAATCGCCTTTTCACCTAAAAAATAGCACACCTAACCTAGCAACCAACGCCTCTGAATGAAGAAATATGAAATCTCTTTTTATTGCTCACGTTTGCATATCCACACCAAATCAAGAATATACCTACTAGTTGTCCTTATGCTCGTCTATAGAATCGAAACGGAATTTTTAATTGTCCACTAACTACTATATAGATACGTTAAGATTCTCCTCAATTTAATGAGAAATTGTAGAATAAGACTGTATCGTCATGTCAGTTTGTGATATTCTAATTCAAAATTTACCGTGTCATTTTTCAAACCAATTTTTTTTACAGTTGGACAAGAAACCCAATTATTATATTTTGAAATATAATTAAGAAAATAAAAAATCAGGAGAAAGAGAGAACCATTCGGAAAAAATTATGTGTCAATGGTAATTGAATAAAATTGGACTCATTTTCAATGCTTATGAGATCTAGCTGGTGGTTCCATGGGTTCAAGACACGTTGCAGTTTGAGAGAGAGAGAGAGAGAGAGAGAGAGAGAGAGAGAGAGGAGAGGAGAGGAGAGGAGAGGAGAGGGGCTGCACTGCTGGGTAAGGGGTTGAGTAGAGTGGGAGGTGGTTGCGGCGTCTTCCCTGTCCTTTTATGTCTTTGTTATTTATTTTTTCTTTAGTTTTATTATGAATGTAAAAAAAAAAAGTTTTAAATCTTTCTGCATGACAAATTTTGAATGGGAGTATCAAACTGTAGAAACTGATTTTCCCTTATATTATTTATAAGATCATTATACAATATATATCAAGTTTGTAGAGAATAATCTACAATTACAACAAGCCATTATCATAAACATAAATATGAAGTTATGGCCTAATAACAACATAACTGACAACTGACCATTTCCTATCATTAGTAGGATTAACTATTGTAACTGAAATACTATTGTAACTCCCTAATACTCCCCCGCAAATCGAGCACACACAGCATAGCAAGATTTGAATGAAGAAACTACATAGTAATGGAGATGACGGCAGCAGTCGGTTGTAGTAGTCCAGTAAGGGGAACCAAAAAGAAGAACTCCAATCTCCAGAGTTGCAACAACAGCATGAGAGAAACAAAGTAAACATAACGCCCATTGAAAGGCAGGAAGTGAAGGAGCGCACAGGCTCATTGAAGAAAGGAATAAAATGATGGGCTGACATACAAGTCAAATGGACCTAGGAAACAACTTTAGGCACCTACGAAACATAACTCTACCTAGGAATCACCCTTTAGGTAGGATAAAGAGCATGCGGTAAGCGAGAAAAGAAGTAGCCATGTAGAAAAGAAAAAAAAGTTACACCCATAGGAAGAGAGGAAGTGGAAACAAAAGAAAATTTATCACATGGTAAGTAGAAAGGGATGTGTGCAACGAAAGCAGAAGGAATATTTGAAGGGAATAATGGGGTTAAGAGAGGGTGGCACAACAATAGGGGATAGGAGGTGAAACCAACTTGGGACACAAAGAAAAGAAAAAAGAGCATGGGCAAGTTTGAATTTCAAAGCAACATAGAAACAATAAAATAAGGTATGGGGAAGAAAACCACGTGGGAACAGAGAAGTGATAAAGAAAGGATCATCACAAGAGCATAGGGGCCCATAGAGATTAAAATAAAAAGAGATTATTGACCCAAAAAACAATAATAAGAAATAAAGAAAGAAACCAAGTGAGACAGAAATGAAAAGATAGTATGGGCAAAACACATAAAGAGAAAATCCTTTCAAAATAAAGATGGAAAAAGGAGAGAAAAAGAGGAGAAAATTGAACACTCATCAAAAGGAGAAAGTAGTCAAGAGAGGGAGAGAGAACACAAGATGCGAAGGAGCGCATGGGCTCATAGAAGGAAGGAAACTCAAGATGCCAGAAACAACCCATGACGAGGAGAGAGAAAACACAATTGAAAAGAAGAGAAGAAAACATCCCAATAATATAAAAGAATTATAAAGATACGAAGACAATACCAGTAACAGAGAATAAGAAAGGCAGCGCAAAAGAACAGCGAAAGACAGAGACCAGTAGTAAAATCAAAGAAAGAGATTGGGTTTAAGAGGGGAGGAGAACACCGGTTGAGCAGAGATAGAGCGTGAGAGGCCGATACCAAAGCAACAACATAGAGATACCAAGTCGGCAACACAGTGATAGGGCTTGAGTGGTCGATACCAAGTCGGCAACACAGAGGAAGAAACAAGGGCTGTGCAAAGGGAATAGCGGCAGTGTAGCACAGCAAAGAAGGCTCGGCAAGCGTTGACGAGGCCCGCAAAGGAAAGAGAGACAGCTAGGTGAACGATATGGAAACCACGATAGAGAAACCATCAGAAAAACATGGGAGAGGGAAACCACAATCGTAGACTAGGATAAAATCCGGCAAGCGTTGACAAGGCTTGCAGATGGAAGAGAGGCGGCGCGACGGAGACAAAGAAGTGGAGAGAGATTTCAAGAGAAAGAGGGAAACAAGGATAGAGAGGTGTGTTCTCTGAGGGAGAACAGAGATCTGACCATCATGGTAAGAGACGGACATGGATGAGGAGTGGGACTAGGTATCTGAGGAGTGGAAGAGGTACTAAGCAGTGGAGGAGAGGGAAAAAAAAACAACAATATTCATCTTTGAGAAGAGGAGATGAAAAATGATTGTACAGAAACGAACACTCTTACGGGTGAGGAGCGCCAACGACTCTCAATGTTGGCAACTAGAGGATCGCTAATCGGCGTTAGCCATTAGCTCTGATACCATGTAGAAACTGATTTTCCCTTATATTATTCATATGATCATTATACAATATATATAAAGTCTGTAGAGAATAATCTACAGTTACAACAAGTCATTATCATAAACATAAATATGGAGTTATGGCCTAATAACAACGTAACTGACAACTGACCATTTCCTATCATTAGTAGGATTAACTATTGTAACTGAAATACTATTGTAACTCCCTAATAAACACTTTCTATGCGTGAGAGAGAAAGAGAGATCAAATGGAAGCATAGCAATTTGATTAAACACTCGTAAGAGGTCACACAATTAGTTTTGCCTCTCATGTTTGGGTTTGTAAACTGCATGGCATTAAAATGTGATGTGAACCTCCACATTACCAATTTATAGACACGTTCAAATTTCAGTGAAATTTCGTGACATAGCACGTTTTCCTTACAAAGAGGAGTGTTTTGGACGGAACATTAAACTGAAATTGGGAAGTGTCCTTAAATTTTGACGCTTTCCAAAATTAGAACAAATTATATGGACTGAAAGTGACTTTTGTTTTTTCCTTTTTTTAAACGAAATTTCACATCAAATGAAATGAATTGGGATCATAATTTCCAAATTTACATGCAATGGGTGTTGCATAATTGGAGTGATGAAGTTTGCGTGAAGGTTTTGAAAAATTGCCGGAAAGCAATACCGTAAAAAAGGGGAAAAGTCATAATTATTGATATGCTGTCAGTGTTGGATTTCTTGATGATGGTTCATCACACCCCGCGCGGAAGGGAGAGGAGAGGACTGAAAGCGAATGGAAGAAATTGTTAGAGGAAGGAGGCTTCTCCCGTTACAAAATCACCAATCTTCCATATATACCCTCCATCATCGAGGCCTTTCCTGCATGTGTCACCAAAAAATAAAAACTAATTACATCTTGCTTTTCTCTCTTGCTTTTATATCCCCTGTAATAAGAAACTGTTGGCAAGAAAACCATTAGCATGTACCTTAAATCATGCTATGTTATGTCAATTAATGCATCCTTTTTTCTTCCTGAAATTTGGAAGAAGAGGTGGGTTCACACACCATCAATGTGTCGTGAGAATTCGAACCTAAAATCACTGGTTTGTCAATCAAGGTCATTTTTCACTAAACTAAATCCAAGAAAATTGGATTGTGTATTTCCGTGTGATACAAGAGGAACAAATCTCAGACGATCATAGTTATTATGTTTTTTTTATCAAGTCATGGTTATTGAAATCCTGGCCACACACCAAAGGTATCAACTTTGATTTGCCACATATCATGGTGTATATGCGTGATGGAAATTTATAAGACGAACTCAGACCATTTTCAGGCGAAACCTAACCAGTTTTAATCAGTTGGATTGGACTGTTCTATGTTTCCTTCTTCTTGTGTATTATTTTTTCGTTTCCAACCCATAAAACAATAAAAATATACCAGCATGTTAGCTTATCCTGGTAATTACGATGCAAATCCATTCTTGACTAAATAGAATTGAAAATACACGATTCAGACTAAACATTAGGTCATATGTCAAGTCAAGATAGATAAGCAAGGAATTCACATGCCAAATCGAGTAACGAAACGCTAGGAAGTTAGGCATTATATCTAATCCCTGCAAAGTTTTAACTATATAAACTAAGTTTTTTTATATTAGTTGTTTGAAGAGAGAGATCATGGCAATGCTAGAAGTGAAGG